CGGCGGGAATATTATGGAGATCAATTCGTCGCTCTACGGATACAGTAGCACTGCGCACGGTGACGCTCGGGTCTAGCGGTTGCAGAGAGAGGGTCGTGAAGATTATGTCGGACGGACCTACGGGAAGCGTGGGGATGGAGACGTTATAACGTACGACAGGTGCGCGAGGCTTGGACGTTTGATGGAGTAGCGCATGGGGGGACGTCGGGGGATTTGATGGAGGACTGACAGTGAGGGAGGGCGGCAAGTCGTAGCGGACGAGGCCGAGGTCGTAATAGCGGACAATGCGGGAGCCGACGCGTGGAATATCCACATGATCCAGTACTTTGGGGTGCGAGGTGAGATGGGGATACTTGGCGCGTTTGGTAGAGGCGGCGGGCGGGGGAGAGGCGCGGGGACGGAAGGGAGGACATACCTGCTTCTAACCGCCAGAATATGCGGTAGTCTTGGTAGTTTGCTGTGCTGAACCCGGGCGTCCGTTTTGGAAGGGTGAGCTTGAAGGGAAACTCCATCTCCGCGACGTCCGCATAGTCCTTGTCGGGCGGCTTTTGCCACAGCACGTCGGTGAGGTCGGCGACGAGGGTCGAGCGGAAATTACGCGAGCGCGTGAGACGCGACTGGTAGCAGCGAATGGAGATGGAGATGGCGCGCGCGGGGATGGGTCTGCCATCCTCGTCTAGTTTTGTGCGCACGACTGCGGGAGTGTCAGCGGGGACGGTGGGGGGCGGGGCGGGGTGGGGCACGTACCGCCCTCGACGCGGACCGGGGTGAGGCCGAGATAGCCCTGGTGGGGGAAGTAGCGGTTGCCAGAGTTGCCCCTAGTGGTGGAGAGGACGAGGTGGACCATGGGGGGAGAAGGGGCGTCGGCCGTGCGGGGCGGGATATAAGTACATGGCGATGGAATTCAGAATCGGATTCGGGTTCGGGTTCGGATGCGGGAGGGGGTTCGGATTCGGATTCGGTGATCCAACAAGCTGTCCATCGTCCTCAGGCTCCAAGAATCAGAGAATACCAATCACTCCTCCCGAATTCTCAGACTCCACCCCCGCGCTTCCCCCCATTATTTATTTATTTATTTCCCCGATCATCTCCCCATTCGGGCGGCTTTCCCGCCCGCACCTCGCTCACGCCCCGCCACCTCCACACTGCTCGCCAGGCGCCCGCTGCAACGCACCTCTCTCCCCGCCCGCCATGCCGTCCTCGCTACTGGTCCCGGTCCTCGTCGGGGGCATGCTCTTCACGGTTCGCTCCGTCCATACAAGCACTCTCATTCTGTACTGACCGCTCGCAGGGCTCCAGTAATTCACTCTGGAGCAAATGGCAGGTCCGTCACGCCCGCCACGCGTATCTCATGGACTCCTGTCCTAACCTGACCCAAACGCGAAGGACATGCAATGTGTAGAGAACTGCGGCGACGACAATCCGGCAAACCACGTCCTGTATGAGCAGCCCGTGTGGCAGACTCTCCAGATGTTCCGTGCGTACTCCTCTTCCGGTCACCCGCACACGCACCTATCCCTGACCTACTGTCACCGCCCGCGCCAGTCGGAGAGATGCTCTGTACGTCTCCTTTTTCGCTCGCTAGCGGTGATTCTCATCACCCTGTCCGCGCACGTGTAATTCATCAGGCTTCCTCCCTGTCATTTACTCCTGGGCCCGCTCGAAGCGCCAGTCTCAGCCTCTAAGCCTCCCTGCCGACTCCGAAGAAGAGCCTGCCGCCGGCGTAAAGGCCGAGATCCCCCAGCAGCACCTCGAGGGCTGGAAGGTTTTACTATTGTGGTTCCCCGCCGCCTGCGATCTCGCCGGTACTACGGTACGCCCACTGCCTACCCTTTCTTGACCTTTGCTTCTCATGCTAAACGCCCCCGCACGCCTATGTGTCCTGTTGCCCTCTTCCGTTACAATGCGCCCATATAGTTGATGAACGTCGGCCTGCTCTACACCCCGGTTTCGATCTATCAGATGACCCGGGGCGCCCTCGTCCTGTTCGTCGGCGCCCTCTCCGTCATCTTCCTCCGCAGGCGTCTTTGGCTCTACCAGTTGAGTCTTGCCATGCTTCCCACCCATTCTGCTGCATGCAGCATAACGCCGCGCACCATGCGACTTGTGCGGGATGTTTTGCTAACTCTTGTTCTCAAGATGGTCCGCCCTTATTACCGTTATGGCAGGCGTGTCACTTGTCGGTCTGAGCGGTTCCATGGTCAAGGATGCCGTGAAGGAATCCGCAGTAAATATGTTTGACGAGACGGAGCCCGTCGAAGAGCCGGAAGTTACGAAGGTCCTCGTCGGTATGTATTGCCTTCACGTGCGCAGTCCGCTTCGACGTCATCTGACCGTGATACCTAGGCGTGTTCTTCATCCTCTTCGCTCAAGTCTTGTACGTCTTCCTTCGGCCACTTCTCTCCCTATCCGCGCCATTCTGTGGCGTATCCTATCATGGGAGCTATACTCATTTGTGCTTCTCTTCCGCGCGCGCACATTTCACCGATGCTCGGACATTTGCAGTACTGCTACCCAATTTGTCGTCGAAGGTCAGTATATTCTGCTTCTCTACCGCGCAAACGGCGTCTTACGCAGTCCACTTCCCACGCTGCGCACAGAGAAGATTCTGACCCGCTATGCTGTCCCTTCTCTGGTCGCGGTGGGCTATGAGGGGCTGTTCGGTGCGCTCACCATCGTCCTCGCCATGCCGCTTCTTGCGCGCTTCTCGTCCGTGTCTCCGTTCTTCGATCTGCCGCGTGGCTGGCACCAGATGGTCGACACCCCGGCGGTCCTCTGGTCCGGCGTCGTCATCGCCCTATCCATCTCGCTCTTCAACTTCTTCGGCCTCAGTGTGACCCGCCATATCAGCGCGACGGCACGCAGCGTGATCGACTCGTGCAGAACGCTCAGCATCTGGATCGTTAGTCTTGCACTTGGCTGGGAGGTGCTCGCCTGGCCGGTCTCCCTCCTGCAGGTCGCTGGCTTCGCGCTTCTGGTGTAAGTGATGTGGTGCTTCTGTGACTGTTCCGATATTCACGCACTCTCTTCACAATGCAGATACGGAACGGTCAGTGCCATTACGCGTCTGACCTGCTCATTGGTTTGAAAGTGGCTGATCGTGTGCCATCTAACAGTTCCTCTTCAACCACCTGATCAGCCCGCCGCGCTTCCTGCGTCCCGCATCGAGCGAACCGCCTGCTGCACCGACCGAAGACGACGCTGAGACAGCCACGCTGCTCGCCGAGGAGGCCCTTGAGGACACCGCCCTGCTCCCTTCCGAACTCGGGCGCAGCGGTTTCGACGTTGTTCCTCCCGAAGAGCTTGCGCGTTCGCACTCGCGTTCCCGCGCCGCGACCGGCTCCGTGCCCGCTGCGGGCGAAGGCGAGGACCGTGTCTGAGCGAATCTGCTCGATTCGTTGTATGTACGGCGGTGGCTGCCCGCCCGTTCGCGTGGCGCGGTCCCGTACGTATACTTGTTTGCCCCAGGCGGAAGTCTGCTAATAGTTCTTCGGATGGTGTACATTGTGTAACATTCATATTCGTCATTGCTATTCGACGCTATAACTTATACCCTCCGCTGGCCCACGTCCCCGACCGGGCTTCCGAAGTCCGGTAACGGCCAATGGGGAGATGAGGTTGGTCATCGGCCAAAGCGCGTTGGTACGACATTGTCAGTGCAGTCAGTATCGCGCGCATCAGATCTCGGGCGCGCACGTCGGCAAGGCCAATATTGCATGCATGTTCTACGATCAGCGCCGCATCGGCCCGCGAGCATCTCGCTTGTTGGGATCTCGAGCTTGAGCTTGATTACCGGTCGCCCCGCTCTCCTCGGCTCTCCTCGAGCTCGCGATCGTTGACGCGGACGCGCCGCCCGCCGGAGACCGTGGCCCACTCGAGCTCCGTGCGCGTAACTCGTCGCATTCCGATGGGCGTGTTCCGTCTCGAACGTCTGTCTCCCCGACACCGAGCGACTGGTCATGACCACATTTATAGAGAGCGAAAGCGTTCTACCGTCGGGCCCGCGCCGTGTGCTGTGGCGTTCGAACTTCGCGCGGAGGATGATTATGGCCAAGGGGCTATGGGGGCCCGTGGCGGGTGCGGTATGTTTCCATCGACGTTTTGTGACACGACTGACATCTCGCGGAGCGTCCCAAAAATCGAACACGAGCATCGAGGGTTCGAGGGGTTCATATTCGTTATCGTCAGCTCATCGCCGGTAGCACATATACTACCCGGGGGGACGCGCCCGTGGGAGTGTGGCTCGGGAGCCAAGCAGTGGCACCGTGCCGGGTGCGCGAACGTAGTACTAGTAGACGACTGCCTCTTTCGTCCGGACATCTTGCGCGCACGGGCGGCCTCGGGCGTGCTTCGCCCGCTGTGCAGCGTTCGTTGTATACGCTGCTTCGCCATAAGTACACCATGACCTGCAAGCTTCCTTCCATCGGACCGAACTCGGGGGGCGCTGCTGGAGCCTGTCACGCCTGTTTTCCAGCAAGGTTCGACACGGTGCGGGTGCGGTGCATGCTCGCTGTCTACTTGCTACCGGACGCCCGTGGAACGTGGTGCTGCTGCCCCGGTGCGTCGATGCATGGAACCTGTCGGCCTGCCAGTGGTTTATCTACCCACCGGTGATAGATCCTGCATTAATGCGGCGGGCACGCGTCCGCTGCAATTTCCGACGGCCTAGTCCTGTACCGCTTGCAAGCTTGTGGATGTCGAGGACCCCCGCTTGGCATTGTCAATGGCGCCCTATAGTCACCAACGATCTTGTCAGGGTACCGGTCATTGAGTGCTACCTCCTACTTGGAACCGGTGAAATGTGGTAAGTGGTTAGTCTGTTCTCCGCTTGAAAAGACTCTCAGTTAAATATGCTTTCACGCTAAGTCGTGTGGAAAAGGTGAAAACCCGTCGAACCCGATCTTGCAAAAAGAGGTGACGGGGCTACAACACAAGCCGCTAGCTTGAAGTTGGTGTTCGGATAATTGTCAGTACGATCCCTCTCCGAAGAATCAAAATAACTGCCCCAGTGAGGCTCGAACTCACGACCTTCCGATGACCGAAGGATGCTCGCTTCGTAACAGTCGGACGCTGTAACCAACTCAGCCATGGGGCAGATAGACTGCTTATTGTCTAGTACCGTCTCGATTAGTCATTTGATACTGCCCTTACCTCCGGTGACAAGTTGCAAGAGGGAGAGATGGTGCAGCTCAAGCAGCTCTATTATTCCAGCCGTTACAAGTCATTACAATGGTCCTAACGTGCACATATGTGTAATCTCTATCTCGGGACGTCTATTCCGCCTTCAGCTTTGTCGGCGGGGAGACGAATGTTGCCTGCAGAGAGCGTCCAAGTCAGTATTGCAGGCCACTATCACGGACGATGTTCAAACTCACGGAGATAAACTTGAGAACTTCATCGATGAGCAGCACAGGTGCGCTTAAGTACAGTACAGCCTTCCACTCGGTCCAGTTCAGCGGCGCGATTTGGAAGAGCGTCTGGAAGAAAACCAATTTCAGAACAAGCCCGCTTAGGGAGGGCGTGCACACTTACGGTGAAGACGGGGATATAGAGAATCGCGACGTGCAGCGCCATGCTGAGCGCGATCGCGGCGACGAGGAACGGATTCCGCCAGAGCGGCAGGCGGAACAAGCTCTCGTTCTCGGACAGCGAGTTCATCGCGTTGAACATCTCGACGGTGACGAGGATGGATAGGGACATCGTCGTCGCCTTTTGCGCCATCACATTCGTGAACATCTCGCAGCCGATCTCGGGGAACAGCGTCGAGCACTGGTGGAAGTTCGTCTACGCGATCCGGTCACGTTAGCATCTGTTGAGCGGTAGAGCATAGCTGCGACATACCAACTGGTGGAAGGTAATCTGGGGTCCCTCGGTGTAGAAGATGAACCACCAGGCGTATCCGGCGACAGTCGCGACACCGACGTATATACCAATGACCATGTAGCGGAAGAACAGCCACTTGCCGACGATGGGCTCACGGCTGTCACGCGGGGGGACGCGCATGATGCTGTGATCGGGAGGGTTGAAACCGAGCGCGGTCGCAGGCAGACTGTCGGTGACCAGGTTGACCCAGAGGAGTTGGACGGGAATGAGTGCCTCGGGCATGCCAAGGAGCACCGTGAGGAAGATGCTGACAACCTCGCCAATGTTGGACGAGACTAGGCGTGCATTAGCAATTAAACGGGGCGAACAGTTTCAGGTGGTGAACTTACTGAGGTAGCGGATGAACTGCTTCGTGTTGTTGTAGATCAACCTGCCCTCCTCGACGGCCTGCTCGATAGTCGCGAAGTTCGAGTCAGTGAGGACCATGTCGGCCGCCAACTTGGCGACGTCCGTGCCACTGCCCATCGCCACACCAATATCCGCCTTCTTGAGCGCAGGTGCGTCGTTAACACCATCACCGGTCTTATATAAAATGTTAGCGCATTGCTACAACACGCCAGACGGGTCACTCACCATTGCAACGACAAGGCCCTGGCTCTGCAGGAGGTCAACCAGCTGGCTCTTGTGGCTCGGCTCCGTGCGACTGAACAAACTAGCGCGCATGACGGCCTTCAGCTTCTCCTCGGGGCTGAGATCATCGAGCTCGCGCCCGGTGTAACTCTTCCCAGTGAGGTCCTCGTGTTCGCCAAAGATGCCGATCTGCCTGCAAATCGTCTCCGCGGTACCCTTGTTGTCGCCAGTAATGCAGATAACACGAATTCCAGCCGCCTGGCACTGCGCGACCGCGTTGCGCACCTCGGGGCGCGGCGGGTCGAGCATGCCGACGAGCGAGACGAACGTGAGGTCCTTTTCGAAGCGCGCATATCCGGCGGTGGTCTCCGACTTGTAGTACTCGACGTCAAGGGTCTGGTTCTCGGCGTATGCGAGGGCAAGCGTGCGCAGACCCTGGGTGCCGTACGCGATCGTGCTCTGGAGGAGCGCGTCGCGGAGCTGGGGGATCATCGGGATGGTGCGGCCATTGACGAGGACGGAGGAGCAGCGCTCGAGGATGGACTCCGGGGCGCCCTTGGCGTACAGGATACCGGTGCCGTTCTTGCGAGCGAGGACGGACATCATCTTACGGTCGCGGGAGAACTCGAAGGTAAGGAGGCGGGGGATCGAGCTCTCGTAGAAGTCGTTCACGGCGTTGGCGCGGAAAGCGGGCTCGAGGTATGGCAAGTTCTTCGCGAGCTCGGCGTCGGGGCACGGGAGCTTCTCAGCAAGGACCTTCAGCGCAGCCTCGGTAGGTTCACCCAGGTTCGCGTACGTCTTCTTGTCCTGTATGCGATAACGATGTCAGCTACAATCCTTTTACGAATGGTGATGCAACTTACCGCGTGGTAAACAATCTTGGAGTCGTTGCAGATGGCGCTGATCTCAGCCAGGCGCTGCAGCGGCTCTGAGCGGACTTCAGCAATGGTTTTACCATCAGCGGGGCGAACCGACCCTTCAGGCGCGAAGGTCGTGCCCTCGACAAGGAATTCCCGAGGGATGCCAGAGATGTCGACAACGGTGAACTGATATATCCCCGTAAGGAAAGTGACACAAGACTGATAAGATTGGGACCGACCTTCGCGACGCTCATCTGGTTGGTGGTCAGGGTTCCGGTCTTGTCGGAGCAGATAACGTTCGTGCAGCCAAGAGTCTCTACGCTAGGCAGGTTACGGACGATAGCGTTCTTCTGAGCCATCTTCTTCGTTCCAAGAGCAAGGCAAGCAGTAATGACAGCAGCGAGACCTTCAGGAATAGCAGCGACAGCGAGAGCAACAGCAATCTTGAAGTAGTACACAGCACCCTTGAGCACACCATGGTGAGCGGGGTCCCAGAAGTGCCGGATGTTGACGAGCCAGACGAGAATACAAATGACGGTGATGACCTTCGCGAGCATGTCACCGAAGTCGTCGAGTTTGCGCTTCAGCGGGGTCTTCTCGCTGATCTGCGACGTTATCGACTTGTGAATGTCGCCAATAGCCGTCTTCTGTCCAGTGTAGACAACGACGGCCGTGCCCTTGCCGTTAACAACAGTAGTGCCCTGTGCGAAACGTAGAGTTAGCGCTTGGAGGGCGGTGTCGTTCGCCAAAATAATACTTACAGAGAAGAGCAGGTTGATCATGTCTTGCTTCACAGCGCGAGCATCCGCAACGATGTCGAGGACCTTGCTGACACTGGTACTCTCACCGGTGAGAATGGCCTGGTCGACGCGGAGGTTCGACGACGCGATGGAGAGCAGTCTGCAGTCGGCGGGGATCTTGTCGCCGACGGCGATGGAGATGACATCACCAGGAACGAGCTCTGTTGCATGAATGCGAGTCCACTGTCCGTCGCGGAGGACCTTCGCCTCGTCGGGGGAGTACTCCTTGAGAGCCTGTGCGAGAGTTAGTCGGACTGTGACGCGTTCTCACACACGAATGACTAACATCAATTGCCCTCTCCGCGTTGGTCTCCTGGATGACACCGACTGTCGCGTTCGCGATGAGGATGAGCAGAATGACGAGGGGCTCTACGAACGCGCTCCACCAGCTGGAGCCTTCCGAGTCCTCAAAGAGTGCGAGGACGAAAGACACGACAGCGGATGCCAGGAGGATGAGGACGAGTTGGTCCTTGAACTGTTCGAGGATGAGCTCCCATAATGGTGTTGGCGGGTCTTCGGGTAGCTCTGGTGAAGGTAAGGTGATTTATGAGGACCCACATCGCGAATTGCGCAATACAAACGGGAATCACGCACCGTTCTTCCCGTAAAGTTCGGCGTGCTTAGCAGCAGCCTCCGACGAAAGACCCCTGGCCTGGTCCACGGCGTAGTACTGCAGCACTTCCTCTCCGGTCTTCGTCCATGGTGCGTCCATGTCGACGGGCCTTACGCGCGACGTACAGGAGCAGAGTGGTAGGAGAAGTGTTTGGGGGGGGGATTGGCGGTCTGGAATCTGGAGAAGTCGGGTCGGCTAAGAGCGCTGGTATAAATCCAGGGCTCCGCGCTAAGCAGCGCTAAGCTGACGTGGCGAATCCCTTCGGGTCGTGGAACCGATTCTCGGGCTGCCACCGGGGTGGAATCCCATCTCTGTTTTTCGTGTGCTTGGGAACATCTCTATTTTGTCTTTGGCGGTCATCTGACAGGCCCGGTACGCCTCGCCTACGAACAACGCGGGAACATACAAGCCTATGCGCATTCTACAGGGACGGTGGCATATACATCCGGAGGACGTTCGGCGTTCGAGCACACAGAAGCGCCCATTGCATTTGGCAAGCGTGCGAACTGTGCATGTGCGCAACGCTGCCTCGATGTTTGGAGGCTCTTCAGATGTTCGCACTCTCTTCACACACCAGGGAAAGGCGAGTTCAAGCTCTTTCTGGTGACTTCCACGGCAACACGTAAATTTGCGAGCGTTCTCGCCTGGGTCTCCGAAAACAAACGTCGGTCAATCAGTGCGTCCGTGGAGCAGGAGGTCACGAACAGATGTGACAGTCCGTCCACGGTCCCAGGGTGGTAACTTGTGGTACACGAACACGATTGCCACGCGTTTTTCGTAGCTAGGATACCTTTGCCGTTCCTTTGTGCGTTGGAAGATGTTCCTTGGGCGTTGGGAGGGAATGCAGCCAAGCGCCAGAGACCAATTAGAGCGAGCGCGCGGGGGTAGCCGAGAGAGGCGGACGGCGTAAGCGTTGTTCTGGCCGTCACTGGGCTGTGACGACAACCTGCATTCCCGGACTCTTTCGAGTCTCCTCTTCTCGACGTCCACCACCCTCTGGGCCTCTCTGTGTGCTCCCACTCTGCCGCCATGGGAAACAGTGCATCCTCCGGCCGTGGGCACCATGAAGAGATGGTCGACTTCGGCTATCTCACCCCACAAGGGATCTACACCGGTCCTCGGGATTGGAATCAGGCTGTTGTAAACCAGCTCATCGTCGACCGCAAGCTCGCTCCATTCTACCGTCCACTAGAAGACTACGAAGAAGACTGGGATGACGAGCAGATTCTTGCCGCTCGAAAGGAGCCGCCGGAGGTCGAAGGCGGGGAGACCTCCCGCGCGGAGTCGATCAGTTCAGCAGTCTCTCGCGGACACCAGAAACGACCCAGCGCCGTAAAGGAGCCCACACGACATCCTGAAGCTGCGATAT